CCCCCCCCCCCCCCCCCCCCCATCCCGCCACCACCCGCGGACGCAGGTGTTCTGGGTTCTCCCGCAAATCAACAAGTCTGAGTCTAGCGCTAGACAGCACCTCGCTTCGGCCACCGAGCGGTACGATGCGCTCGTGAAAGAGCTCGGAGAGGATAGGTAAGCCGTCGTGTCTCTCCCCATTTCCGTGTTTTCTTCTTGGTTGTTGTTTGTCGTTGTTGGCAATAATGTTTTTGCTGCTTCTGTTGTTGTCGTTGATCTTGGCAATGTTTTGTTGTCGTCGATGATGGCGTTGCTGCGTAATACTTTCAACGTTACTTTGGGACCGAACGTCGGCTGCACTTGATAGCGTCAGCGTCGGTGTGAGAGCGACGACACCGGTCCACGACCTCCTTGACTTTCACTCTTTGTGTGTGTAAATTCCCACGCGTGTCAGTGCATCAAGTTCGTGGTGATACACATGCTGCTCGAAAGAACCTCACGCATTCATCTTCTCTCCAACAAGTTTCCTCGCGTAGCACCCTCCCTCCCTCTCCCTCCCTCCCTCCGTCTCTCCCTCCCTCTCCCCCGTACTCGGCAAATTATAAATAACGCGTGTAGAAAGAAGAAGAAACCCACGTGCCAGAAAATATGGGAGATGGATGCATGCTTGACCACCCATCCTCCGGCAATGTGCGCTTCGTCCGCCCCCCTTTTTTTTTTCGCCTTGCAACCATTTGAGAACGCAAGAAGCTCGTTCAGCGTGGTCTCTTCCACTCAATCATTCGGCGTGGTCATTCCACCCAATGATGTGTGTTCTTTTTTTTATCGTGTGTCCGACTGACGGCAGGGTGACCCTGCTCCACGGCAAGATGACCTCCGCCGAGAAGAACAGACGTCTCTCCGAGTTCTCCGGGGGGGAGAAGGGCAAGGGGCTCCGCGTGCTGGTGTCCACCAGCATCATCGAGGTGAGCGTGAGCTTCGTCCGGTGGAGTTGGGCAGGGATTCGCCTATGGACGGCGATGATACGAGCGGCAGTCATGGGGGAAAAGCTAGGTTTGATGCAGGTTGGGGATCAAGCGCGTGCAGTGTAGCGGTATACTTTTGGTGGCGTTTGTTCCAGGCTGAACGTGCTACAATTCTTGGCGATTTTTTTCATCGGCAACATTTATCCCCCTATTGTTTTCGGCGATCACCAGAGGTCGCTTTGAGATATCGCCGCAATAGCTTCACAGCACGTTTGATCGTGCCGCAAGATATGTTTGCCCGGCCGCTCACAGAAATTGCTCTTCCCCTCCTCCGTTGCACCGCTGCCGCCCTTGCTCATCGCCGCTTGTGTCTCAAGGTCGGCGTCGACGTCCCCCGGGCAGGGGTGTGCGTGGTCGAAAACGCCGAGATGTTCGGTCTCAGCCAGCTGCACCAGCTCCGCGGCAGGCTCGGGAGGACCGACCGAGGGAAGCGGGAGCGATCAACTACAGCACCGACGGGATCTTTGCAGCAGCCTGCTACCCCCGAGGTAGGTGCCACTGCTGCGAACGGGGACGGGAAGGGCAGTCGGTCCGGGTTTCCGCGACTACAACCATCAGCGCCACGCAGCAGCTGTTTTCTTTTTTTTTTTGCGTATGGTATGTAAACCATGATAGTGTGAAGAGTCATCGCTCACGCACCCTCGGCTGACTTTTAGAAAGCCCGATTAGTCCACGTGGTGCGATAACCGACCAATACGTGCAAAGGGAAGCTTGCGGCGAGTTTTTTTCTTTCCCGGCACCACTTTGCCCTTTTCTTCCCAGCAGTCTCTTGGTTGCGGAGTAATTGAGATAGGAAAGTCGGCGTAGGGGATGTGTGCGATGACTCGCACGTTTCCCCGGACAATGAGGTTTCAATAGCCGTGTTTCAAGAGCAGTGGGAGCAGACAGGAACCTGTGGTATTAGCATGTAGTTGGAACGGATCCCCGCCGTTTTTGTGACGATTGTGACGATGCCTTCTAACCCATTTGCTTGTAAATATGCTGCCTATGTGTGCTCCCGCAGTGAGTTGCTGCAGCGGTGGTCCCCCGCTCTGTCGCAGTGAGCGCGCGTACCCCAAGTGCTGGGGAGACTTTTGATTGCCAGCCTCCCCATAGGCAGCACGTAGTTTGGTTTGCGATCGGCGCAAAAAACAAGATCGATTTGTGTTTTGAACAACAAAAGTCTTTTTGTGCCTCTTTGAGCTGTTACAACAGCAATATCTTCCTTATGAATTTCCCAAAGATTTGAAAGATATATTTTGTAAAAGCTAGATGTATACTTGGTATGCCGTTGCTTGCAACAAGCCTCGATCCCCCGCACTACCGTATTCCTTATACCGATGGCAACGATCACGTGTCTTCCCCGCCCATGACCAGGAGGACCCGTCGCAGGACAAGAGGCAAACCTCCCACTGCATCCTGCTCTACGGCCCAGACGTCGGTAACGATGCCACGGAGAGGCTCAAGGCCGTCCGAAAGACTCGCGATGGGTTTCTGTTGGCGGAGAGGGATCTGGCCCTCAGGGGCCCCGGGGAGGTGCTCGGGATGCGGCAGAAGGGGTACATCGAGGGAAAGTGAGTACCGTAGTTGACGTATGATATCACACCCCCTGGACCGAAGCTCAATTGATCCACGCCCACAGAAATAGCGGCCGCGTCGAGAGTTTCGGCTTTGGAACGGGCTCGTGGAGAGCTTTCCGAAACCGTATCGATGGTTGTAAACACCTTTTTTGCCGTGGAGTTCTCGAGCTCGGAGAGTCGGTGGAGGGTTGTGGCATATTTTGTCACCTACGGTATATCAAGTAAACTGTCGCGTCTGTCGCCCACAAACAAGGTGGCAATAATAGTTTTTTGTCTTCACACATGCTTTATTTTTACAAAGTTTTTGTTGTTGGATATAGCAGCCTTTGCCAAAAAAACTCACTTTTCAGGATGAGCTAAAATCCGGCTGGAAAAAAGTCCGGCCGTTCTTGCAGCGAGCCGGATTCCTGCGGCAGATTCTTGGGGGGTGGGTGTAGATCAACCCAGACGACATCATCGGCGAGTGCGACCTGAGTTCTTGACGTATCGCTCCCATCAAGGGCTCACAACAACCCTACGCCGAAGGGCTTGCTATTCTGCACGCTGGCTGTTGATGGTCGCTCGGCACGCGTGCGTAAAAAAACGTATCGCATCACACCAAGCATGGGAGACGCCGAAACAGGCCAAACCGCCGCGAGACAGCCAAAAGAGCCGCTTTTCGTCAGAGAGGGGAGGACAACGCAACTGATTTCTCGCTCCCTAGGCTACCGATCGAAGCCAGACCGGTCAGGGCGTGCTCTCTGTTCCTAACTGCTGAGCAACTCTACTCCGGCAGAGAGCAAGGAACAGCGAGCACGCCCTGACCGGTCTGGCTTCGATCGGTAGCCTAGGGAGCGAGAAATCAGTTGCGTTGTCCTCCCCTCTCTGACGAAAAGCGGCTCTTTTGGCTGTCTCGCGGCGGTTTGGCCTGTTTCGGCGTCTCCCATGCTTGGTGTGATGCGATACGTTTTTTTACGCACGCGTGCCGAGCGACCATCAACAGCCAGCGTGCAGAATAGCAAGCCCTTCGGCGTAGGGTTGTTGTGAGCCCTTGATGGGAGCGATACGTCAAGAACTCAGGTCGCACTCGCCGATGATGTCGTCNATTCGACTGGGTTCACCCAGCGGTGAACTTTTTGGGATGAGAAATATGGGTGTGCACCATCCTGATTTCTTCCGAACTTTACGGGTGGAAGCCACCCAAAAAGCTGAACCCGGATTTTGTCGACCCAAAAAACTGAAGAANAAGGGTTGCTGTCAGCCCTTGATGGGAGCGATACGTCAAGAACTCAGGTCGCACTCGCCGATTAATTCGACTGGGTTCACCCAGCGGTGAACTTTTTGGGATGAGAAATATGGGTGTGCACCATCCTGATTTCTTCCGAACTTTACGGGTGGAAGCCACCCAAAAAGCTGAACCCGGATTTTGTCGACCCAAAAAACTGAAGAATCTGGCTGTGTAAGAAGCCGGATTTCTGCCCATCCTGAAATCGGAAGCTTTTTGGGAAAGGAATCCAGGTGTGTAAGAATCAGCTTTGATGGTAACTCTTTTTTGCTCCTCGCAAAGCGACGTGCTACGAAACCCCCACCGCAGACTTTCAAGTGTCGCTGCGCGTGTGCTTGTACGCGGCCAGGCCTGTTTGACGTCTTCCGCTGGGGCATGGACGCATCGAATCCGATTGAAGTTGGCGAGGGTTGATCTGTGAAGCACGAAAATCGGATGTGACGCCAAGGCGGTCTTCCGAATTGTTGCGGCTCCGCCCAGGGTGTCCTGTTGGCCCCCTCCTCTTTTCCTCCCGCCCGTTTCCCTACAATGACAAACACCGACATCCCTCGTCGCGATGATAACTGCGACCAAAAGGTTCACCGCCCGTTTACCCTAACGACAACAACACCCCTCTCGTCGCGATGATTACTGACTGCGACCGCCGACAGGTTCAAGGTGGCCGACCTCGCCCGACAGGGGTCCCTCGCCGAGCACGCCAGCAAGCGCGCCCGTCGTCTCGTGGAGAGTTGGACGCCTCGAGGCGCCGCCGCCGCCGCCGATACCGAAGACGCCGCCGCTTCGGGGGCTCCGCGAAAGGGGGGCACCGTGGCTTTGAAAGAGGGGGGTCCCGGTGCTGACTGTGATGAAGAGGGAGGCCGGCCGGAGAGCCTCGGGCTGCTGCTGGTACTCTGCGGGCTGGGAGCCGACGCGGAGGCTCTGCTGAGCGGCTTCGCGTCCAGAACGCCTCTTCCCGGCGCAGCGGACGGTGACGCCGCCGGCGTGGTGGCAGGCGGGGAGGCGGACCGGGGGGCAGAGGCGATAGAGCGCGAGGCAAAGGAACACGCCCCCGAACGAGCGACGGAATTTCCACAGTCGCTTCCGGTTGCAGCAGCAACACCGGATGGTGTGGAAAGCCTCATCACCAGCACCCCCGCTGCTGACCCCCCCCTGGCGGCGTCCTCCTCCACCCCCGACTTCGTAGTCAGAGCGGAGGCGACGGCCGGGGTGGGGGGGGTGTTGGACTCGCGGACGACTACGGGCCCGGACAGCAGGAGCAAAGAACCGGGGCCGGAGCTCGCGGTGCCCGCGGCGGTGTACTTCGACGACGAGGCGGACTTCTTGGAGAAGTCGGCCTCGGAGTACGCGGAGATGATGGAGGACCAGGACGAGGAAGACGAGTACCTTTCGGGATTCTCTTTCGCGCCGCCACTCCAGCCACCCCCGCCGCCGCCGCCGACGCGTTTGCAGTCGGCAGGGCGGCAGCAGCAGCACGAGAGAAGGTTTTCAGGAGGGGTGGCGCCGACGGGAACTCCGGTGGGAGGTGGCGGAGGTGCACCGAGCGGGGAAGGTGTGGCGATTATCCGCCGGGCGGACTTGTCGGAGGGGACGCACACGGTTGTCGTGGTCGATGTCGAGACGACGGGGCTTCGGGCTAAGGAAGACCGGGTCATTCAGCTCGCGGCGAAGGTGAGCGCAGTGCGCGCGTTGTGTCGAGAGGAACCGCTCTCTTGCTGCGGTGTTACACCATGAACGCCGGTCGATTCAGTGGCTCCGTGCTGCTTGCACGTGCACGGAGCCCGTACGTAGCGCTTACTTCGTGGTGAAAATACCGACGGGATGCCCTAGGCCACCGTGGCCCTGGGGCGAGGAAGACCGAGAGCTTCAGCGTTACACAGATAGCGGCCGGTCAGAGCCGCCTCGTCTTAAAACAAAGCTCGAACCTGTTGTGCGACTGCTGTGCGCACACAACTATATATATATATACGCGATATTTGTGTGACTCGTGGGGCCTAGTCAAGGGACGTGTTCCGACCCCAAACGTCCAGCTTGTTGTGTGACCAAGCCCGGTACTTGATCAAGCTCCGTGATGCTGTGTATTCTACCCACCTGAAAATTGTTTCCTCTCATCAGTGCGAGGAAGCCAGGGAGTGTTCCTCACCCTCGTTTTGTCTCGGCCGACCTGGACATGTGCAACCAAGAGGGTATCAACCAACCCCCGCCCCGACGCCTGCGCCCCCCCCATCCCCCCTCCCCCCCGCCACCTGTCTGTCCGTTGCAGGTCTTGGGCAGCGAGAATCCTAGGCACTCGTTCGCGGAGTACATCGACCCGGGGGTAGTGGGGGTGCCTCCCAGAGTTCGAGGTACGCCCTGCTGTGAGACATTTTGGTGTTTGTTGCTNCCCCCCGCCCCGACGCCTGCGCCCCCCCCATCCCCCCTCCCCCCCGCCACCTGTCTGTCCGTTGCAGGTCTTGGGCAGCGAGAATCCTAGGCACTCGTTCGCGGAGTACATCGACCCGGGGGTAGTGGGGGTGCCTCCCAGAGTTCGAGGTACGCCCTGCTGTGAGACATTTTGGTGTTTGTTGCTGCCGCTGTGTATGTGTGATTCTAAGGCCTGCCTCTGGCGCGGGGGGTGCGAGGTGGCACGCTCTGTTACCACGGACAACAAGCCCATGAAATAAGAAAATGAAGTTGCGGCTTAATGTAGTGGCGGGGCCTCTCGTCGTCGTTCATCCAACGCCGGAACTGCGCGGTGCGCCGCCGTGGCTGTGTAGCAGGCGAGAGCAAGCACGCGCCAGCTTTGGTCCTGCAAGGGTTTTGTCTTGCGGGACGCGCCAGCTTTCTCTGCGTTACGGTATTGTAGGCGTCACTGTTGTCTACCCCACGGCATTCCCTCGATGACGGGTGTTTCTGTTGTGTTCCACACCGAAAAAATTCCGTTTATGGTGAGCGTTACTGTTGTCTATCTCACGGCGTGCCCTCGACAACGCTTATCTCTGTGTTCCATGCGGCAAAATCTCCGTTCTTGATAAAATCATCTACGTGGTTGGTTAGCGTTTACTGTCTCCCTCACCGCGAAAACCTCCGTTCATGGCAAGCGTTGCCGTCTGCGTCACCGCATGCCCACAACGCTGCGTGTTCCTCAACGGCGAAATGTTTTCTGTCATCGGGCAGAGATTACGGGGATCACGCCGGAGATCCTGGCCGCCAACGGCGCGCGCCCGTTCCCCCAAGTGTGGCCGGAGTTCGCGGCGTGGCTGTCAGGGGTCGTGGCCGAAGAGCAAGCCGAGGGCAGGGGCGAGGGCGGCGTCGTCTTCGTCGCCCACAACGCCCAATTCGACCACAAGTTCCTCAAGGAGGAGCTGTCGCGATGCGGCTTCAGCAGGTGTGGGCGGTTTTTCGGGGGCTGCTGGGCTGTGCTGGTTGGGTTAAATGTCATTTGTACGTCGTTGTGTATGGCGCTTCGGTGTGGTGCGGTCAGACTGGAGGCCAGCGAAGGTCAGTATTTTTTTTTTTTGGCCGACGACGAAAGGTGTTGGTTTGCGCTCTGCAGGACATCATTGAATGCTGTTTTACTTTCGTGTGTGGCGACCTCCGTGCCTACAAAGAAACTAAGCTTGTCCTAGGGTTATGTGTTTCCCCTTGCATGCACCGGGTGTGTTCGCGGTGTGTGTTTGCACTCTTCCTCCTCTCCTTGTCGCTATAGAAACTCCCTCCCCCCTTCTGTTGTTTTGCTTGGCCACCTTAAAGGTTCATGATGGGCCAGGATATGGGAGTCGTGTGCATCGTTGACTCCCTGAGGTGCTTGAAGGAGAACAGCTTGTGGAGGCAAAAAGCCTCTGATTTTCACATGCCGACGAGGCCCAAGAATTTCAAGCTCGGGGGTGAGAGATCGAAAGGGTAGCGGGGAAGCGGTTGTGGCATGCGATAGTTTGGGGTTTGGTTAGTTGCGTCACTGCCGTTTCCTGGTTCTTTCGGCCCAGTCCCCTTTAGTCCGTAGTATTTAGCTTATGCTTGCAAGCGCAGTGTAGACAAGTCTTGTGGTCGGTATATCGTGCCCGAGCAAGCAAGAAGACTGGCCACGCACACGTTGACACGCCCCGACTAGGTACACGTAGTACTGGATGCCATAAATTGCACTGAACTGTGCAAGGATGCGACTCGGTGGCTAGCTGGTTTTGCCTCTTCTCCATGGCCGCCGTCGCAAATCGATTGGGATTGCTGTAGGGCTGTAGGGACGAGGGTTTGGGTGTAGGACTTGATTTCTGGGCCTGTAGCGCAGGTGATGAGGTGATGTGACTGATTTGTCGGCCAGCAAAAGGTGCCTGGTTCAGTGCTCGAATTTTGAGACGTTTTATTTTCTACAGAGAATGGATTTTGCGCGTACAGTACTGATACCCCATCGCCCTCTGTCCATTTGCTTTTGTCTACCTCACCCGGCCACTTTTTCCCTGCGACAACACCTCGGCTCTCAGGGGTGTTCGAGCATCTGTACGGCTACGAAATGCCAAACGCGCACAACGCGATGGGCGACGTCGTTGGACTGGAACGCATCCTGTCGGCGCCGGGCATCAATGAGGGGTGGGTGGCAGCGGGGTCGCTCTGTTGGGTGTGCTTGGTGTTTCTAGAGAACACGCGTGCTGAATCATCGGCGGCGTGTGCCGCCTCATTTTGGTTGTACGTGAGGCATGGATCAGTACGGCTGCCGTAAGCAATGACCATGCCTTTTGCGCCACGTTCCTTTGCATCATCTCTCCTTCCCTGAATCGGACTCAGCATGAACATTGTCTAGTTTGTCCAGCCGATCGGCACCAGGATTTGCGCCGGTGAATAAGTTGATGCCCATTGTCTAACCGCCCTGGCACGCAAAACATGAGTACGCCCCCCCCCCCCCCCCCCCCCCCCCCCCCCCCCCCCCCCCCCCCCCCCCCCCCCCCCCCCCCCCCGGCTGTCTGTTAGGTGGCGAGGCGTGGCTAGCAGCCACCCCGCTTGCCAGATACCCGTTCCGCGTTCCTTGGCGGAACTACAGGCTGCGACGAACATCGCCGCCCGCTCGAGGAAACCCCCAGCAAGAAGAACCAAGGCAGACGGATGGCGGTACTATAACAATCGGCGGACCGGTCGATGACCACGATTGGTTCCTGTGGAATCGTTCACGAGTCTGGTTCCTTCGAGCAATGTGTACGTGTGATGTCGGGTATTGTTTGTGCGTTCACTGCGAAGAGAGACAGGCGTAATTTAGGGTGGAACCTTAGGTTTCCATGCGTTTTATGTACGTTTTGTTGTGTATCCATGGAATTAGACTATGGCATCTTGTGAGGTGTGCTTTTCTGTAAGCCTCTTGTATCATAAATAGCACTGTCACCTCTGGATATAGTAACCGTCCCGCGTGTTTTTATTGTGGAGGAGTGGAGTGGTGGGATCGAGAGGAGAGAGCTTCTATTATAGCAACTAGGGAGTTTTCAGCAGAGGAGTTCGTTCGCTTCTGATAAAAGCTGCGCGGTGTGGAGCGGGGTTGTGAGCGAGAGTGCTTGGTACTCGCTTGCTCTTCCAATAGAAGACTGGGGTTACAACCACGTTCGGAAATGCAGCAGGACGCCACCTGTTTGCAAGGGAAACGGTGTTCGTTCAGAGTGTCAACATCGAGGAACTCTTATCATCGTCACCTAAATTCTCGACCTTGTGTATCGATGAGGAAGAGCTGGTGGACGTAACTCCAAAAGGCACCCTGGTTATCCCCCTCGAGAGTACTCCACCCTCTCGAGGAAAGTCGAAACCCAAATCGGACGCCACAGCAGCAGAAGTAATTTCTCACAAACTCGAAATTTTTCATCCCAGACCCAGACAAATAGGAGTGTGGTCGAACGACGGCAGAGTCTACATGCTCAGCATCGCCGCTGTGTGTGTTTCCCGTGGATTCGTCCTCTGCCACCGTGTGCGTTGCGCCGGATACGCATCTCGAGAGCTGCGCAAGAAGGCGCGGGCACTACTGCTGTACTCACTAGTGTAGTAAGTAGACAAGACAGCAGTAGCCGAAAATCCAGAAACCCACAAACCCCACGGGCGACCTTGCGACGCGAAAGTTGCGTGCACCTCGATCAACTAGTCCGGCGAGTGGCGTCGTCCCATGCGAGGAGGGGTCATGCCTGCACCGCACCAGGCTCGAATGTTTGATTCTGCGATCCGGCACATATCGACAACGAGTTGGGACTATGTACAGCAGTATGCACAGAGCTGGTTAGTCTACCCGCGCATGCCACCACCGAGGTGACACAAGAAATGACGTTGCTTCGAGAGCAGAATCTAAACGAAGGAAATCTTGCAGTACTCAAGTAGTCTACACCTTGCTGTCTGCGCGAGGGTTAGGAGCAACCCTTGTTGCGAGCCGGGCGTAGCCGGACCAGCGTATCATGCGATGCATGGTTCTGAGGCCTTTATGGACGGCCGATGGTTGCCGATGAGCACAGAGTGAGCCCGGATTGCCCCTCATGGCTAGCGACATCAGTTTTGGCCCGCGAGTCGAATTCTCCCGCACCCTCAGCGAGGGAGGTACAAAAAAATCGTGATACATCTCACGGAGCCTCCTTGGTAGAACATCCCCGGTGCGGTGCGGCACGCTGCGGAGCAGTACCTGTCTCTCAGACTGCCATACGTTGCCCTGTTCCCGCAGAGCGCCTCTCGGAGAGAAAGATACAACAGCGGCGAGCTGGCCGTGGGTAAGTAGCTAGGCGGAAGCGCCGTGGTGGCTGGTGGGAAGCCGGTACCTCCCATGGCGGCAGAAGCGGCGGGTTCTTCGGGTGCCGAGCACGGAGCCGGTCACGGTCATGGCGGCGGCGGCGGCGGCGGGCACGGAGGGGACGGTGGCTACGAGACCCCGAACGCGGGGTATCTGTGGCTTGGCCTGTGCTTCCTGGGTATCATGTGCTCGTTCATCGTGTACGGGATCGTGATGGAGTACGCCACGAGCGGCGGCCGAGAGCTGCACGAGCTGTCGATGATCTTCCTTACGTCCCTGATGTACAGCGTCACCGCTTGGTACGGCCGCCGCATGAACGGAGAGGTGAGACTGCTGCTGGGCGGGATGAGATGGGGCACAGCAGTTGGTCGCAGAGGTGGACGAAGCAGAGATGAGGATGGCTTTGCTTGCGCGGTTTTTGCCGCACTAGACTCGTGCTGTGGAATATGGTGATCGAACATCTCCCTCGCCAATGGACACGAAACATCTCCGTATTCGTCTTGAACGTGAACCAGACAGAGTGCTGCTCCAACAGCAGCCCAGGCTTGATCGCCACGTCCTGCAAAAAAGATGCAACGAGAGTCGAGCAGCGTTGTTTGCAGCTTCCCCGGGTCGTTCCGTCGGTGTGCGGTTCGTTTGAAAGCGATGCACGGGAGGTTTGAAAGTTGGGTAGTGACGAGACTCGTTGACATGCGGAGAAACATAAGCGTAGCATATATTCGTTTAAGTACAGCATGCGGTTGGGCATTGGAGTGATGCTCAACATCCCTGCGAAGTGTTGGAAGGCAAGAACTGCAGGAGGACTGCTGTTCTGTGAGGCCCTAGATCGGGACTCTTTTTTAAAACTTCGTTAGGGAGGCAATTTGCCGCAGAGTATCATGGATATCGACTGCAGAGTACGTGCGCGAGGGAAACATGAAAAAAACGAAGACAAGTTGTCGCAGTCGAGAAGGGGTGGATGTGAGATCGTGCGTTGTAAGTTCGATGGTTCCACGAAGGGTCTGGCCGATCGGTTGATCATGGTACAGACATCGTGGGGGCTAACAAATTTGGTCGCAGTTGTAGACTGCGAGGCATCCAAAAATTCATACTAAGCCCTCGGTGGCTGTGGGCTGGTTATCAGCAGCTGGGGCAGAGGATGGACGTCGATTGCCCTCAAAACATGCACGGTTTTAAGACAGCTGTACTATAATAGGTGCCACTATATGTGCTGCATGTGTGCGGTAAACTACAAATACGTGCCGACCAGAGATAGGTCGTGTAGATTTTGCCGCGTCCCGCATGGTCATGTATGTGCCCGCGGAAGAGAGCGCTCTTATGCCATGACAGCCGTGTTAAGAACAAACAGACCAGTGAAGTGTTGCATCCAACATGAGAGAGGGGCAACCCGACTGAGATGGGAGTTAGAGGGGGGGGGGGGGGGGG